TGCGAATCATCGACGCCACGGACACGCCCATTGACGAAAACGCGCAAATAGCACAACTTTTCATCGTCAATGCCTTTAGAAGGCACAGCAGAAATTTGACGTCGATCCGACTAAATCCCTAGGAGGAGTTCGTTAAAGTACGAAGTGTGTAAATCATCCAAAAATGGCCATAAAATTCAAAATGGCCGACTTCCTGTTGACTTTAGGCTATGGGTTCTTGAGGCTTTTTTGTGCGTCTTGATACGATACATGTCCCCAGAAAATTTCGTACATGTAGGTTGAACGTGAACGAGGGGCTAATCATTTCCAATTTTCAAGGTGGCGCTAGCGAGTCATTTTGCCACGCCCATGTGCGAAACTTGTAGAATACGAAATTTTTCACCGGTTCTGACATGTTTGCAAATTTTGGTGAGTTTTCGAGTATGTTTAGGCCATGTCATTTGGGCCTACTTTGCAGAAAAAAAAAAAAAAAAAAAAAAAATAATAATCCGAGCAGATTCAATAGGGACCTCGCACGGTCGTGCTCGGGCCCTAATAATCCGAGCAATTTCAATAGGGACCTCGCACGGTCGTGCTCGGGCCCTAATTATTGCTAACTTGACCATGGAGCCCTGCACATGCAAAAAGGACGTATGGGGTACCAGAGCGTTAAACCAAACATCCATATGTGACACGTTGTTGGTGAATACCGGGACAAATCCCGGTGGGCTGTCAGAAAATCTATTTGGTCATTTTTACTGGCTTTTCAACCTTGTGTGTCTCATTACCGGTCCTCTCATTGTGCTAACTTCCGGTTTAGCCCTCCGCTAACATGAATGGGGATAAAATGATTTAATTGTGCAGTTCTTCTAGACTAGATTCTCACTCATTCTGTACTTTTTTTTTTTTAATCATTTTATTGATGTTAGGACATGTTTTCAGTTGTTTTCAGTAAGTAAGAATTAGTGCTGTTTCTATGAAAGATAATAGAATAAGTAACAATAACAATTTCTGGAGTGTTATTTAGTTAAAACATGACACAAAATGTGATATTTTTTTTTTGTTGGTTAGGGTTGCAATAAATACATATATAATTCTATTTTGCACAGAGACTGCAGCAGCTGAAAGTTGATTTAGTTTGGATATTGTACACTTAGAACAATGACAGCACACTAACACTAGCTCAGATAAAACTCCTGTCTGTGAGCTTCATGGTGCAACATCCTGGAACATCCTCCAGGTCTAGTTTACAGTTCTATCAGCAGCTTTTGCACATAATATAAAAGGTGAAAGACAGAACAGGAATGTGTCTCTGTTCTCCGGTTATACCAGTAAATATCAGTGGAGAAATTAAGCAACAGAAGACATTTGAAATAAAGATAGGGTAAAGGAAGTTTTGTGACTGACTGCATGATTGCAGTGACAAACATTAATGAGGTACATTTCATAATGTTTAATCCTGATAAAACCCAATAATCATGTTTTGTGACAGGTACATGTGACCAAGTTATAGCCTACAGCCTATAGCCTGTGTTAAACAAGCCTTTAGACCGGACCTATTGAAGTCACTGTATTGTGAACTGCAGCACAAACCTACAGATTCATAAACAGATTCATAAACATTGAACACTCGGTTCTGAATAGATTTGGTTGAACAATAGTTGAGCTGGCATGATAACTACTGGGAGAGTTAACTATCTTGTACATAAATGTTGTGACATATGTACAGAAAACCTCAGTCATATTTTTGCTTTTCAAAAGTACTGATGACAAAACCTACTGCCTTATTTTCTGTGTTATTGAAATAAGTGCGGCTTTGTATCTAAATTCAAGTGTTAGTATTGAAATATTCATAAATCACAGTACACAAATGGAGTTGCAGTGTTAAGAGTAGCTTTATATCTTAACCAGAGCCCGACTGATTTATCGCTTTGCAGATATTATCGGCCGATATAAGCTACTTGCAAATGAATCTGCATCGCTGTTTATAACAGCAGCTATATGGCTATTAAAAAAGAGAAACAGAGTCGGATCCTTCTCATGTCATGAGTGCTGTATAGTTTGCCCACCAGAGGGCGCTCTGCAGCTCCTCTGTTAACAACACTGCAGCACAGTCGGCCAGAGCTACGGAGAGTAGCTCCTGGTAGCTCTCACACTCAGTGAGTTAGTCATTTGTCACGTTAATTACATGACTTAAATATTAATAAAAATAGCCCTCATCACACCTCTTACCATACCGTACATCCTGACCCCCCCCGTTTTTTTACTGCCCTCTCCAGGCTCACACCAGCGGTGGTGGTTATGCTTCACAGTTCTAGTGAATGTTCCTCTTATTTCTCTCTAATTCATTACTCCTAAATATTCCTAAACATCACTTACAGCAGTTGATGCTTCAGGTTGCTAAATTAGCCAAATAAGCTAATGCCATGTTTGTCAGTAGAGGGGCGCTAACTTTAATGCGCAGTTAAACTAAATTGTTTAACTAAATATATCTGCGAGCTGCTTGTCTTACAGCCGGTATGTCGGAAATGAGAGGGGACATGTAAATAAACATGAGCGCCGCCGGCAAGCAAAAGTACTTCTTAAATGAGGTGAAATAATCTATAGAAGCTTCGAATACTAAAATCATCGTTAGCTGCAGCCCTAATGTGACCCCATAGATGGTTGTGGTATTCTACAATCCTCATTTCCAAAACATTAACATGTTACTGGCAGCTTTTTAAGTCTTTAACCCAAATTCTTCATGCCTAGTCCCTAATTCTCTTCTTTCTGTCTGTATAGACTTTCCTTGCATACTGTCTGTCTCTCTTTCTTAGTCTTTCCTTAAGTGCGTTTGGCAAAATCTGTATTGCGTGACACAACCACGTGACCGCACATTTCTCCTAGCTGTGTCCTTCTCTATGCACGTGTTGGCTGCCTACTAAATCAATATTGTATGAACAGCAGGGTGACCCGAGCTTGCACTAACACACCTGTGATTTGTCTATTATCTCAAGTCAAAAAGCCACTTGTTGTTTAGACTCTCCAAGCCCTTACACTTCAGTGTGCATCTCTGAAAAGGTTTACTTTCTTGGTGACGGATCAATTTAATTTCGAGTAATAGACTGAAATTGCATTTTGTTATTGTTGCCGCGTCTGCTGTCAGTGTCTGTGGAACAACGTCAATTCGACTTTAAGCCGACTGACATTTAGATGGCCTGCTGCGCAACCTTGTTTTTCTGCTGTCCTTCTGTGTGTATGTGTGTGTTAAAAATCTAAATATTTAAAGCAGCGTTTATATCTGCTACGTTGTTTTTGTTCTTTGTATGCGATCAAATCAGACCCTATTTCCAGACAGAGGAGGAGAAGGGATAGAAGAGGTTGTTTCCCTCTCATTATCTGTTGGTGCCTTGGCTTTACCTTGACCTGAGCGCACCACTGTTTTATTACAGGGCCTGTCTCTGTGCCAATTGGAAAGAATAAGAACAAAGCACAAAGTCAATTCAGCCGGAGAGGGACACAGGAAAGCGTGGGCGTACACACCATAACACAAGGGTATAGAGAACGTTCTTGTTTGTCTCTACCATTAGTCACTCCATGCAGAAGTGATTTAGTGTCTAAATTACAGGCTTGGCTCAATGTGAATCATCCGGCTACATCTTGTTCTGCTTTTACATAACAAAATGATTAAAAAAGATTAGACTCACCCCAAAAAAAAAAAGCCTCTCTATTCGTGACTCTAATCAGAAGTGGGGCTACGTACGATAAAACAAATTTCACCTCATGAAGTTCTAACTGTTGCAGAAGTTTTCCATCTTGCATGATTACATCCCAGGTCTGATGTTGATAAAACAGCCTATTACCATGTTTTTTCTTTTACCTGGTACACTGCCGATATCGTATTTTGACATTTGGCCTTCAGTACCGAGACTTTTTAGTTCCCTAGTTATAACATAATTGCTGAGTTATTTCTGTATCTTATTCATGTTCAGTTGTGCCTTTGACTCGGCAGTTACCTTGATAAAGGACTCACAGGTCTACAGCCACACTGGCATCCCTTAGAGACAGAACTTTACACTCCACAAAATGAAGCGCACTGATCATTTTGCCGTTTGTCGAGAGAGAGAGTCTCATGGCTACATGGTTTGTTATCAGGGTGGCCCTTAAAACAGTTATAATTGATATTTTTATAATGATTTATCAAGTGACAATGGGGTCTCTGGTAGTGATGAACCTACATAGAATTATAACTTCTAATCTGCAGCTCCTCTTGGCTTTTGAGCTTTATTGTTTAGCTGTTGGTCCACAACTTTACTGTTCTGGTTGCTTTCAGTGAAAAAAGCTCTTAATGCTATTAAACCCACTGTACACCACCTGACCAGCACACAGACTAGTTAGAGACTAGCAATTGAACATAGTGTCGCATTTAGCAACTAAAGAGCCCGATATTTCCCTCAGGAGTTGGTAGAGCTAATATAGAGTGAGTATAGGATTTACATTCACCCTGCTAATATCATTTAAAGACAGACTGGAACAAAATGTAAACTTCAACGGGCACTTGAATTTCATTAAAAAGTGCTTGGAAATAATGCATCTTCTGTGGTGTCCTTATGTTGCCTAGAAACTATTTCTGCCTAAACAGTTTGAAAAGGATATCCATCACATTGCTGAAATAATGATTCTTTTTAAGATTAGGTGCATAAAGTTTGCCTAAGAACAGGGAAACAAGATACAACATTTCAATCAGGAACGTAACACCTGTTAGTGCAGAGTGGGAATGACTCAGCGCTATACGCTGCTTTGTGTTTCTCGGAAAATGTGTGATTTGACCTTTTCTATCCTTCTTTCTCCGTCGTCTCCTCATTACACTCTTCCTCAAACTTTTTCAGTAACTTCTTCCCACCACACAGCCCCCCTCTTGCTTGTTTCTCTACTGTTGCTTGTCCTAGCTTTAAAAGAACTGTTCTGAAAAATGTCTGTACACCAACAAATGATTTTGTACACAACCACATGATTTCAGAGACGCAGACGATGCACATCTCTCTCTCTCTTTCAACCTTTGTCTTTTCTTTGCAGCATGCAAGTGTAACAGCCATGCCAACGTGTGCCACGTCAACACAGGGAAGTGCTTCTGTACAACTAAGGGCATCAAGGGAGACCAGTGTCAACTGTGAGTATACTATCATGAAACTGCAGTATGGATAAACACCCACACTACCCCTATTTTACTGGACCTCGATCATTAGGTGATCCCCAATTGAATAATAAAAAGATATGAAGAGAACAGAACACTAAAGACACAACATAAACCTGGCTGTACAATGATGTCCAAATATGGCAGCTCACGCAGAAGATGCTTCAGCACGACACTGAATGTGTTTAAGCAGCACTTTTTGGGAGGTTTGACTATAAAATTAAGTTTTGGTTGTCAGTATAGAAAGAATAATAAGAAAATGTGTGTGTGGAAACATTGTGTGTGTGTGTTTTGCCCTGACTGTGCCAGACTAGACCTCAGTAGCACTACAATATCCTAAATGGCTTGGCGGGCCAACACACCACGGAGACGGACTAAAAATTGCTGCGTCAATGAATCTAGCAGGCGATGCTAGAAAGCAGAGACGAAGGGTATGCGGGTGTGAGAGTGGGGGGCATACAGTATGATGAGGCAAGACAACTGAAGCAATCAGTTTTTGATCTCTTTGTTTAAACTTAGGGCTGTAACGCTTCTGAAACCAAGACCGAAATCACGCCACAAAGGTCCACGGTCTCGAGTATGTTAAGCCTAAAATTAGGGAAACTCTTGAGTTTTCTGTTTCAGAGAGCGAGATCAGATAATCCCCAGATCAGTAACTCCGGCAACTGATTCTGTGAACCTAACCTCCTACGTCAGTTTCTCCCCTCCTGCGATGCCTCACAGTTTCATTTCCTCATTCATTGTGTTGATATCAAAGCACATATCTGAACGCATTTACATCTTCAAAAACTTTAAAATCCCGGTTAAATAGGCTTAGTTTTTTACCCAAGCATGATCTTGAACATGACTGCTTTTATGATAAATCTGTCATCGATGTATGGACAGATCTTCGCACATTGTGGATTTATCCTCAGCACAGAATAAAATCTATGTCCGTCTTTACGTAGGCTATAACGCTGTGACTCTGTGGACAGTTGCACTGAAAACACTTACTGTGGGCTACATTACTGCAGTAATCACTGTTTAATATGGAACCTGTAAAACTGATGAATGAACAGTAATCTTTCATATTCTATGTAGGCTAGTCGCACTTATTGGAACATTCCTATCGCTGTTATCAAACTGGAGATAGTGTGACTATTTGTGAGTGAGGATGACTGTGGTGCAGCTAAAAAAAAATAGGCCTAAATAAGGTTTAAATGTGATTTTTTTCATTATTAGCTGCTGATAGTCTGAATGTGTTTTGACAGCATTAATAAAATACGAAATGAGGTTATTAATGTAAAATAGACGTCTAAAACTTTAACACATTTTCCACTGCAAAAAAAATAATTAATAGGCTAACGTGACTGTGACTCTACAATCACAGGTTCACGAGTAAACTGTGTCTTAAATTTGATCTATAGCCTACCTATTTTCATAATCAGGTAGCCACCGGCATTTTGTCCCGTCGGGTTACAGCTTAATAAATATGTAATGACAATATGTAATGAATGTAATGGGCTGTAAAAAAAAAAAAAAAGTCCAGTCTGGTAAATGATGAATGAGCAAAGCTGTGTAGTAGCCTAATAATATTAACGCTTTGATCCTTCTTCCACTCCTGCGTTTTAGAGCCTGTCGTTGGCAGCATTCATATTTCTAGCTCCACCCGATTTAAAATGGAGGCTCTGCCTTTATTTACCCGTTGCCATGGTGAATCGTAGTATCGGAGCTCCATTGAGGATGGCTTTTTGTCATCCGTACGCACACGCTTAAATCGGGCTCAACAAACTCAAGAGTTGATTGAACTGATTTGATCAGCTGTTGGGATAAACTCAGAGTTTGTTAAGCCTGCTTTCTGAACCAGGGCCCTGGTCTCTCATGGCAAACACGCCGGCTTGCTCTGTCTCTATTTCCTTGGATGTGTCTCTGCTGACTTTCTCCATCAGCAGTATGTTTCATAAAGTCACCACTTAATACCAGTTAACATCTCTCTCTCTTTTCTCTGCAAGATGCTAATGTGGGTTGCCAAATATACTTTGGCAGGTGCAAATATACCTGGCCAGCCCGCTCATGTAAAGCATATGTCGAAAACACTGTATTTAACGTTAGCTGTCGGCTTACAGGTAAATATTACACCTTCAACCAATTTTATTGTCTTCCAACTGCGTGTGTCACGTGACTATTTTGCATATCTTATAGATCACTGATTATAAATACCACACAACTCCCATTGTGTGATAGTACAGTTATTAATTTATGTATTTAGAGTCAGATATAATTTCTCAGTGCTCTTTCTGGAAGTCGTTACCTCAGTAGAGAGAGCGTTAGATTTCACTTTGTTACATCTAATTGTTTGAGTTTGATTAGTTTCTTTCATTTGCAGAACAATCAAACATTGGGGGAAAACTCTCTAGAATCCAGTACATATAAATTCCACACATTTTGTGAACAAAAGCTGTAGGATTGTCAAGCCTATACGATGTAATGCTTTGCCATGTGGATTGATTAAGTATCCTGCTCAAACTTTAACCCTGGTTTGTTTTTCTTAAATGCATACCTTGTATCGATTGGCCTATAGTACCTCACAAAAGTGAGTACACCCCAAACATTTTTGTAAATATTTGATTATATCTTTTCATGTGACAACACTGAAGAAATGACTACAATGTAAATGTCTTTGCTACAATGTAAAGATGAAAAGATGTAATCAAATATTTGCAAAAATGTGAGGGGTGGACTCACTTTTGTGAGATAGTGTATCTACACTATATTTGTCTTATCAATATGAGCTGTTATTGTCAGAGAGACGATACACAGCTCAGCAGTATAAATTGAATCGGTTTAAGAGTTCTTTGTGCTTGTGTCAGCTGGAATTTTAAACAGTAGCCCAAAACAAGCAGATGTTGCAGAGGCTGTACTAAAGTGCACCACAACCTGATTGATTCCTCATAGTGTGCATCTTTATTTCTATTGTATTTTTGTGTACTCTAGAATGTTTTTCTCTTCTGTGTGCTGGTGTATTTACGCTGATGGGTCTAGATTGAGCCCATGTAAAATTTCCCCCATTGGGACAAAGTATCGATCTGTCTATCGACGTCTTTCACTTTTAATATTAGACATGCTGAAACTGATGCAGTGTGTTACACCAGTAAAACTGATTTGGCTAGTTAAGAGTTACAAGTAGATTTTAAATATTGTAGCCATCCTGACACACACATACACACACACATCTTGAATCACACCTGCTACCAATTATATAATTTTCTGACCCTTAACTTAAACTTTGCCTTTCACCACTTCTTGCTTTACGCTAATCTTAACATAACCTTGAAGTGAATCTAACCTTCAACTCATCTCCTGACATTAGCATGGCTCCATCTGTGGCGTCCGGTAACATGCCACCTCACCCTCACACTAAAAGACTCTCTCCACATGTTTACCGACAACTTTAATCAATGTATTGCACAAGATGAGTAATTTGACTTTTAAGCTATTTATGTTGGTATCAAAACCCAGGGAATATATTTGCTTAGTTCCAGACCTTTATATTGCAGCTCACTTGTTTGATTTTGCAGCTAATCAAATGGCTCTGGTGTTGTGGACACTAATGGCTGTTTTCCCGATTGGGAAAATCACTGAGCCACAAACTACTTTGCAGGCGGGATAAGGGATGAGCACATCATCTTCTTGTGCCAGATAAAATTGAAACAGAACAGTTTGCATGAAAATGGCTGACAGAGCTATACATATTGTTGTAAGTTAACTTATAGTAAGAACTATTTAACTGACACATATGTCTTAATGAATTATGAAGTCATTTTATCATGCAAGTAACATATTGGCAAATCTGGAACAATAGGTAGCTGCAGTTGAGTGTGAATGTTAGCCTTGCAGCCCCTAGTACTCCTGTTCACTTGGCATTTGTGTCAGTTTTTTATGCGTAATGTTTCGTTTCAACGCTCACAAAAATTCATTATTCTGGTGGAGACTCCACAGACACTGAAAGCAGAAATGGTGTATTTGTGTGTGATCACTTGTGCATCCCTAAGCCACTGTGCTGCAGTCACTTTCACCTGATTTGCTCTGACATGCATCTCTCTCTCTCTCTCTCTCTCTCTCTGTCTGTGTCAGATGTCTCTCTGTCACAGTGCTTTTTGTTTTGCTTGAGTCAATTCAAAATGGTGTGCCAAGTAGAGAGCCATTTCTTTGTCGTTTTGATTATGAACGAGCAATTTCCCCCCGGGGGCGGATGGTAAGCACACTGAGGTAACAGCAGGTGTGTGGATGCATATTTTTGTCTGTGTGTGTGGATGAGTGGATGCTCTGTGCAAACGCACAAACACTAAGAGTCAGAAATGATGGCGCCATTACGTAAAGCAGTTTTTTGTTTCTTTTTTTTTTTGCTTTTGTATATCTTTTATTGTGTGTATGCTCATGAAAATATTGTCTCTGTCTATCGGACTGGATATGTGTGTCTTTGTCTTTCATCTTCATTCAAAGAAAATTAGCCCATTTCTTTCTTTCTTTGTCTGTCCCTCTTCACTGTTTGTTTGTCCTTTTGCTAAGTCAGTGCCTCACAATATTCCTCCCCTCGCATCAACCATAATCCATCAGGACCTTAATGTTGTAGACACAGACAAATATACACACTTTGACAACCACAAGTGCACAGATTATTATTGGCATTACGGGCTTAATATTATAACAGACCTGAGTTTCAGTACTATGCTTTGTTTCAGCCCGACTTGGAAAATTATATATGTTTTTCCCTATTTAAAAAAAGAAGCCAAAGTTCTGTATTGCTAATGTTGTCTAAACCAGTGGTCCGTAATAGTTTTTAATCCACAGCACCCCTTTATATTGTTCCTCTTTGCTGGCAAAATAGTGGTGTTTTGTCTTGAGCTCTTGGCACCGTTGCTACATTTGACAGTTTTTCACTGTAGATGAGGCATTTCATAATGTTACTTCTTTTGTTCCTCCCAAACCTTTGCTTG